TTTAAGAGGAGAAGAAGTGAAACATCCTTACTCACTTTTGCTTGCTTCAAAAAATGAAGGAAAAAATTAGCTGTCAGTAAAGGCTGTCAGTGAGTGTTTAGCTCACTTTACATTTATTAATTATTGACTGATTGACTATTAGGAGCAGGCCAACTGTTGTTTGAAACGCCTTTTAAAATGTTCTTTTGTCATATTAGCTGTTTTGTCAAATAAGAGTTAACCATCACCTGAAAATGTGGAACACTTTATTATAATGAATTATAATAATATATAATTGTTATATAAAATTGGTTCAGTTTTAAGACTCAGTACTTCAGAGTAACATTTGCCTGGGATTCTTCTCTGTATGTTAAAATGTTAATGACTTCTCCCTTCAGCAGGTGTCATCTCTATGACAGGGATATAGGGGAAACACAAGACACTTGCCTTGAGGAGAACAGAGACAGCAGCATTATCGACAGGTGCTCATTTGGTATTTCATTTTGAAATGACTAAGCCCCAGTCTTCCTTCTGTGATGTACCTTGACATTTCTGCTTTTGGAATTGCAGCTGGTGTTTCATTAGCACCTTGATCACATCCCAGTCAGAGGCTGTGAAGGGCACCCTAGCAGGAGAGACCAAGCTCTTTGTCACATACTCTGCTTTGTTTTTGCTGTTTTTTCCCGGGATGGCTCCCAGGACCTGTAGGACTGGAGGTCAGATGTGCATGTCCTTCTCTCTGGTCATGAGGGTATAGGAAACACCTGATTTTTTCCTTACCTTAGGTAACGTAAAGATCGTTCTTAAGTTTTTTTTTTTTTTTTTTTTAAGACAGTGTCTTGCTCTGTCACCCATGCTGGAGTGCAGTGATGCCATCATAGCTCACGGTAGCCTTGGACTCTAGGCTTCAAATGATCCCACTTCAGCCTTCCCAGTAGCTAGGACCACAGACAAGCCCCACCATGTCTGGCTAATTTCCTTTTTATTTTCATTTTATTTTATTTTTTTGAGACGGAGTCTTGCTCTGTCGCCAGGTGCTAGGCTGGAGTGCAGTGGTGCGACCTTGGCTCACTGCAACCTCCGCCTCCCAGATTCAAGCAATTCTCCTGCCTCAGCCTCCCAAGTAGCTGGGATTATAGGTGCACACCACCACGCCCAGCTGATTTTTATATTTTTAGTAGAGACGGGGTTTCACCATGCTGGCCAGGATGGTCTCGATCTCTTGACTTCGTGATCTGCTTGCCTCGGCCTCCCAAAGTGCTGGGATTGCAGGCGTGAGCCACCGCGCCTGGCCTCCTTTTTATTTTTCATAGAGCTGTCCTCCTACCTCACTCTCCCTGAGTGTTGAGGTTACAGGCGTGAGCCATCATGCCTGGCCTAACTTTTTTGTTTTTTTAACTTTATTTTGAACTACTTTGTAGATTCACAGAAAGTTGCAAAGATAACAGTACAGAAAAGTCTCACTTGCCCTTCACCCATTTCCTCACACTGGTTACATCTTATGTAACTGCAATACAGTATCAAAATCAGGAAGCTGACATTGGTATAAGGTGTGTGTATAGTTTTGTGTCATCTTATCACCCATGCGTAGATTGATATAGCCACCACTGCAATCAAGATACAGAACTGTTCCATCACCACAAAGGCCTCAGTCTCCCTCATACTACCCCAGATGTCCTTTCCTCAACCACCCTAAACCCCAAACAATGACTAATCCATTTTCCACCTTTGCGATACTGTCATTTTGAAATGTTATGTAAATCAAATCATATAATATGTAACCTTTTGAGACTGATTCCTTTTGGTTTTTGGTTTTTTAAAAATTCAGCTTTATGACCTTACAATCCACACCAGACTGTTGTGTGTATCAATAATTCCAATAGTTCATTCATTTTTATTGCTAGATAATATTCCATGGTATGGATGTATCACAGTTTATCCATCCAGTTATTGTAGAACTTTGGTTGTTTCCAGTCTTAGGATATTACAAGTAAAGTTGCCGTGAACATTCATGTACAGGTTTTTGTGTGGACATACATTTTAATTTCTCTGGGATAAATGTCCAGGAGGAAAGGCCGGGTGCGGTGGCTAACGCCTGTAAATCCCAGCACTTTGGGAGGCCGAGGCGGGTGGATCACGAGGTCAAGAGATCGAGACCATCCTGGTCAACATGGTGAAACCCCGTCTCTACTAAAAATACAAAACATTAGCTGGGCATGGTGGCGCGTGCCTGTAATCCCAGCTACTCAGGAGGCTGAGGCAGGAGAATTGCTTGAACCCAGGAGACGGAGGTTTCCGTGAGCTGAGATTGGGCCATTGCACTCCAGCCTGGGTAACAAAGAGCGAAACTCCGTCTCAAAAAAAAAAAAAAAAAAAAAAAAAGAAATGTCCAGGAGGGATATTGCTGGATCACATGATAAGTGTATGTTTAGTTTTATAAGAAACTGCCAAATTATTTTCCAGAGGGCTGTAACATTTTACGTTCCCACCAGCAATGTATGAGAGATCCAGATTCTCCATCTCTTTGCCAGCCTTTGGTATTGATTTTTTTTTTTTTTTTTTTTTTTTTTGGGGACAGGATTTTGTTTTGTCCCCCAGGCTGGAATGCATGCAGTGGTGCAGTCGTGGCTGACTCTAACCTCCAACCCCTGGGCTGAAGCAGTCCTCCCACTTCAGCCTCCCTCCCGAATAGCTGGGACAACAGGTACACACCACCATGCCTGGCTATTTTTTTTGTATTTTTAATAGAAACAGGATCTTACAGCCTGGCGCGGTGGCTCACGCTTGTAATCCCAGCACTTTGGGAGGCCGAGGCGGGTGGATCACGAGGTCAAGAGATCGAGACCACCCTGGTCAATGTGGTGAAACCCCGTCTCTACTAAAAATACAAAAATTAGCTGGGCATGGTGGCACACGCCTGTAGTCCCAGCTACTCAGGAGGCTGAGGCAGGAGAATTGCTTGAACCCAGGAGACGGAGGCTGCGGTGAGCTGAGATCGCGCCATTGCACTGCAGCCTGGGTAACAAGAACGAAACTCCGTCTCAAAAAAAAAACTTCTACCCAAAAGAAACAGGATGTTACTATGCTGTTCAAGCTCGTCTTGAACTCCTGAGCTCAAGCAATCCACCTGCCTTGGCTTTCCAAAGTGCTGGGATTATAGGTGTGAGCCACTGCGCCTGAGATATTGTTGCTTTTTAATTTTAGCTGTCTGAGTAGATGTGCAGTGATATTTCATCATGGTCTTAATTTGCATTTATTTAATGACTAGTGATGTTGAACATCTTTTCATGTGCTCGTTTGGCATCTGTATATCTTCTTCATGTGGTTTACCCGTTTTCTAATGGATCGTTTGCTTTTTGCTGTTGAGTTTTGAGCATCTTCTATATAAATTCTACAGGAGATCTTTATCAGATATGTAGTTTGCAAATACTTTCTTCCAATCTGTAGCTTCTCTTTTCATCCTTTTAATGCTTTGCAGAGCAAAAGTTTTTAATTTTGACGTCCAATTTATTGATTTTTTTTCTTTTATGGATTCTCAGTCATGTCTGTGGCTTCTCAGTCATAGCTCAGATTTTTCTCTCATGTTTTCTTCAAGAAGTTTTATAGTTTTACATTTAAACTTATGGTCTACTTTGAGTTAATTTTGTATAAAATGTGAGGTTTAGGTCAAGGTTCATTCGTTTGCCTATGAATAGCCAATTGCTGCAGCAACCTTTATTGAAAAGAATATCCTTTCTTCATTGGACTACTTTTATACCTTTATGAAAAATCACTTGGCTAGGCCGGTATGATGGCTCACACCTGTAATCCTAGCACTCTGGGAGACTGAGGCAGGCTGATCACCTGAGGTCAGGTGTTCAAGACCAGCTAAGGCAACATGGTGAAACCCTGTCTCTACCAAAAAAATAGAAAAATTAACTGGGTGCAGTGGTGCATACCTATAGTCCCAGCTACTCGGGAAGCCGAGGCAGGAGAATTGCTGGAATCCTGGAGGTAGAGGTTGCAGTGAGCCAAGATCGCACCACTGCATTCCAGCCTGGACGACAGTGTGACTCTCTCACTCCAAAAAAAAAAAAAAAAAAAAATCACTTGGCTCTATGAGTGTGGGCTCTTTTGAGTTCTCTTCTGTTCTTTTGATTTGTGTGTCTGTCCCTCTGCCAACATCACAGTCTTGAATAATATAGTTATATAAGCCTTGAAATTGAGAATAATTCCTTCAATTTGTGTTTTTTTAAAAATTGTTCTAGCTATTTTGATTCCTTTGACTTGCCGTGATAAATTTGAGAATGCTCTTTGCAATCTCTTAAAAAAAAAAAAAGTTACTGGAGTTTTGATAGGAATGAGCCTTTTTCATTCCATGCTGGTGGAGATTCTACTTTCATAACATCCTCAAAAACCTTGTGGATCTCCTGTGTATTTCACAGTGGACAAGAAGGCCATGTGCAGTTCTGTTTCTATTTCTGGCTTCTGCTGAGAGAGTTGTGGGGATCCATGAGTGACGGGCTTAAACTCTTCAAAGAGCTTTCTGTGTGAATGAATACCCTGACGTTTTAATTCTTTCAACATACATTGGTCAACAAAACATTGGTCAGCCACACCCTTGTCTTTTCTTAGAGCACTTTTTCCTGCCAGTGAAACTCCTAATTTTATTGTCTTTTGCAATCCAGACAGGCTCAGAATTTCCCAAATTAAGTCCTGGTTCCTTTTTGCATAATAGTTTTTCTTATCTCTTTTGGATTTTACTGTAAGCAGCAAGAAGAAACCAGGTTGCACCTTTAACACTCTGCTTGGAAATTGTCTCAATTAAATATGCAGGTTCATCACTTACATTATCTGCTTTTCACACAGTTGTAGGAGATAATTCAGCTATGCTTTCTGCTAGTATGTAATAGTTTTTAAAAAGAGGTAGCTCATTTCTTCTTCTTCTTCTTCTTCTTTTTTTTTTTTTTTTTGAGACGGTGTCTCTCTGTTTGCCCAGGCTGCAGCACAGTGGCTCGATCTCGGCTCATGGCAACCCCTACCTCCCAGGTTCAAGTGATTCTCCTGCCTCAGCCTCCTGAGTAGCTGGGATTACAGGTGTGTGCCACCATGCCCGGCTAATTTTTGGTATTTTCAGTAGAGACAGGGTTTTACCGTGCTGGCCAGGCCGCTCTCAAACTCCTGATCTTGTATCTACCCACCTCGACCTCCCAAATTGCTGGGATTACAGGCATGAGCCACCATGCCCAGCCAAAGGTAGCTCATTTCTTTGAGTCCTATCAGTGGTACATTTAATGTCCATTTTTCTACCAGCAGTGTGCTTACAATGATGTAGGTATTCTCTGAGATAATACAGACTTTCTCTAGTCTGCTACTCACTTCTCCTGAGTCCTCAGTGGTAGAGTCTTTTTTTTTTGGAGGAGGGGGGCGGGGATGGAGTCTCCCTCTGTTACCAGGCTGGTGTGCAGTGGCTCGATCTCGGCTCACTACAACCTCCATCTCCCAGGTTCAAGCGATTCTCCTGCTTCAGCATGCCAAGTAGCTGGGACTACAGGCACACACCACCATGCCTCGCTAATTTTGTATTTTTAGTAGAGGCGGGATTTCACCATGTTGGCCAGAATGGTCTCAATCTCTTGACCTTGTGATCTGCCTGCCTTGTCCTCCCAAAGTGCTGGGATTGCAGGTATAAGCCACTGCGCCTGGCCAGTGGCAGAATCTTTAACATACACATTTCTATAATCTGTTGAAGGCAATCTAGGCTTTCTGTATCGTCCTCTTCAAAATTCTTCCAGCCTGTATCTCTTACAATTCGAAAGCTGGTTCCACATTTTTAGGTATTTGTTATAGCAGCACCCTAGTTCTGTCTTTGTTTCCTGAGGCTGTTGTAAAGACTTACCACACATTTTGTGGCTTAAAATAACACACTTTTATTCTTGTACTGTTCTAGAAGTAAGAAGTCTGGAATCAAGCTTCCCTGGGCCAAAATAAAAGTGTCCAATGAGCCATGCTCCATCTGAAGGAGAGAATGCATTTTCTTCCCTTTCCCAGCATCTAGAGCTGCATTTCCTTGGTCCATGAACCCTCTCTTCATCTTCAAACCCAGCAGCCTAGCATCCTGCTTCAGTTGTCACATTGCCACCTTCTGTGTCATTTCTCCCCTGCTTTCTTCTTATATGGACACTTTTTATTGCATTTAGATCGCTTGGATAATTGAGGATAATCATCTCCATCTAAGATGCTGCTTTTCTTTTCTTTTAGAGACAGGGTCTGGCTCTGTTGCCCAGGCCGGAGCGCAGTGATATGATCTAGGCTCACTGCAACCTCCACCGCCCGGGCTCTAGCTCTTCTCCCACTTTAGCTTTCTGAGTAGCTGGAACCGTAGGCATGTGCCACCACACCTAGCTAATTTTTAAATTTTTTTGTAGAGATGGGGTTTTGCCGTATTGCCAAGGCTGGTCTCAAACTCCTGAGCTCAGGTAGTCCACCCACCTCAGCCTCCCAAACTACTAGCATTACAGGTGTGAGCCACTGCACCTGGTCTCTGTTTTTGATTGCATATATCTCTTTGTATAGCTTTTTTTTTTTTTTTTTGGTATAGCTTTTTAAATGGTTGCTCTAGGTGTATTTATGTGTATATGTATGTATAATAAGTAATATATATTTATATAATTAGCATCTACTGGTGGTGTCACTTTACCAGTTAAAATGAAATGTTGAACCCTTACCTCCCTTTGTGTCCCTTACTCTCCCCAGTTTATATCTTTTTTTTTTTTTTTTTTTTTTGAGACGGAGTTTTACTCATGTTACCCAGGCTGGAGTGCAATGGCGCGATCTCGGCTCACCGCAACCTCCGCCTCCTGGGTTCAGGCAATTCTCCTGCCTCAGCCTCCTGAGTAGCTGGGATTACAGGCACGCACCACCATACCCAGCTAATTTTTTGTATTTTTAATAGAGACGGGGTTTCACCATGTTGACCAGGATGGTCTCGATCTCTTGACCTCGTGATCCACCTGCCTCGGCCTCCCAAAGTGCTGGGATTACAGGCTTGAGCCACCGCGCCCGGCCCATAACTTTCTTAAATATTTCTTCTGTATACATCGAAAACTACATCAGATAGTTTTTGCCTCACCCATCAAACGTGACTGAGAAAACTCAAGGAAAGTTTTTTATACTCACACATATTTTTACTCTTTCTGTTGTTCTTTTCTAATATTTCAAGATGACTTCTTTTATCATTTGCCTTCTAGTTAGAGAACTTCCTCTAGCCATTCTTTTAGGATAGGTCTGCTGGTGATAGATTCTTTTAGTTTTCCTTTGTTTTAGAATGTCTCAATTTTCCCTTCATTCCCAAAGGATATCTTCACGAGATATAGAATTCAGAGTTGACAGTTCTTTTCTTTCTTTACTTGAAGAATGTTTTACTACTTCCTCTGGCCATTGTGGTTTTGATTAGAAGCCCATTATCATTTGAATTATCTTTCTCCTGTATAGGTAAGGTGTTATTTTCTCTGGTTGATTTCCAACTTTTTTCTCTTTCAGAAGGGTATGTATGATGTGTCTTGACATAGATCTCTGAGTTTATCCTGTTTCGAGTTTGTTTAGCTTCTTGAATTCATAGGCTTATGTTTTTTGCCAAATTTGGGAAATTTTCACCCATAAAAATGTTTTTTTAGCCTGCCCTTTTTGTCCTCATTTGTCTTGAGGGAAATTATCTGTACTTTTCTGGCCTATCAAGCACCCCTTAATTGTGGAGCATCTTCTACTCTCGGGTCATTCGTGCAGGGGGAATAATCAGAAAGAATGTCCTGGTGTTGCTCAGCTGCGATTTTCCTTATTGACTCAGGTGCTCCACGGTGGGTATAATCTTGAATTAACTGAGGAATCTAGGAGAGTGCATGAGATTGTATCTTCACACACCCAAAGAGAGCACCAAAACTGTGAGACAGTCATACTTAGGAACTGTACCTCCCTAGACCATTGGTTGTTGAGGGCTCTGAGGGTTGAGGGCCAAGGAGATTAAATTTTTCAAATTGGGTAATTAAAGACAATGGCCAAAAAATGTGGGGACACTTTACTGAGATTGAGATTTTGTTGCAAAGAATGGGATCAGAGACCTCATTGTTGTAGACAGGCACCAATGTTATTAAAAGCCCTCTTGACGGCCGGGCGCGGTGGCTGAAGCCTGTAATCCCAGCACTTTGGGAGGCCGAGGCGGATGGATCACGAGGTCAGGAGATCGAGACCATCCTGGTCAACATGGTGAAGCCCCATCTCTACTAAAAACACAAAAAAATCAGCTGGGTATAGTGGTGCGTGCCTGTAATCCAGCTACTCAGGAAGCTGAGGCAGGAGAATTGCCTGAACCCAGGAGGCGGAGGTTGCGGTGAGCCGAGATCGCGCCGTTGCACTCCAGCCTGGGTAACAAGAGCGAAACTCCATCTCAAAAAAAAAAAAAAAAAGCCCTCTTGACTTTACGATTGACACAGAATTGTGGAAATCTTACTAAAATATTGTTGGAGGTTCTTCCTTTCCCCAAACTGTTTTCTATCCCATGTGACAGTGGACAGTGCTGGGATATATTTTCAGAAATTCATGAAGACCATGAAAATGAATGAAGTACCTCTTTTAATTGCAAAGAGCTAATAAACATACGTGTCATCTCTGGAGCACCTTTTCTGAGAAGCCTGTGTTGTGAGTAGTCGTATAATTCAGCAAATATCTCCGAGTTCCTACTATGTGCTAGTCACGGTTCTTGGTGCTGGAAATTTAGTAATGAACCAGGCAAGCAAGAACTCCGTCTTTGGGAGTTGACATTCTTATAGGAGGAGAGTTAAACTAAACAATAATCCAGTGGGATGCTACTAATAGTATTGATACATGGCACTTCCAGGTGCAACAACAATCCAATGAAGTAGTTACTATTATTTCTATTAAAAATGAGATGACTGTGGAAAAATTACAAAACTTGTGCACTGTTGGTGGGAATGCAAAATGGTGCAGCTGCTGTGGAAAAGAGTGTGGAGATTCCTCCAATTAAAAATGACATTACCCTTTGATCCTTCACAATAGGCAAGAGGTGGGAGCCATCCAAGTGTTCATGGCCAGATGAATGGATAAGCAAAATGTGGTCTGTTCCTACGAGGGAATATTATTCAGCCTTATAAATGAAGGCTGGTCTGAAGGTAGTAAGTTGTCTCGATTGTTCAGTCAGTTAGAGGTCTATCTTATTCTACCCTTTCCTCCCTTCTCACTACTGCACTTGACTAATCTTTAAAAAAAGAAAAAAAATTGAAAATGATTTTTTTAAAAGGAACTGTCACATGCTACAACATGGATGAACCCCGAGGACATTTTTTTAATATTTATGCTAGGTGAAATAAGCCAGTCACAAGACAAATACTGTATGATTCTACTTATGTGAGTTACCTGAATAGTTGAATTCATAGAGGTAGAAAGTAGAATGGTGGGTGCCTGGGGCTAGGGTAAAGGAGAATTGGGGAATTAGTATTTAATGGGTGCAGAGTTTTGCAAGATGAAAAAGTTCTGCAGGTGGATAGTGATGATGGTTGCAAAACAGTGCGACTATACTTAACAGCACTGAACAGGACACTTAAATGGATGCCATGCCTGATGGCACATGCCTGTAGCCACTCCTTGGGAGGCTGAGGCAGAAGGATTACATGAGCCCTGGAGTTCAAGGCTGCAGCGAGTCATTATTACACCACCATACTCTAGCCTGGGAAATATCGGTAGAGCCTGCTTCAAAAAAAAAAAAAAAAAACAGGTTGAAATTGAACTCGCAGAGTTAGAGAGTAGAAGAAGGTTGGTTACCAGAGGCTGGGAAGGGTAAGGGGGAGATAGGGATGGCTAATGGGCATCAAAAATTAGTTGGGATGGATAAAACCTAATATTTTTTATTTTTATTTTTTTTGAGACAGTGTCTCATTCTGTCACCCAGGCTGTGGTGCAGTGGTGCAATCTCAGCTCACTGCAACCCACACCTCCTGGGTTCAAGCAATTCGTGTGTCTCAGCCTCCTAAGTAGCTGGGATGACACGTGCACGTCACCACACCCGGTTATTTTTGTATTTTTAGTAGAGACAGGGTTTCACCATTATTTAGCC